AAATATTAAAATTTAATTAATAAATAATTATAATAAATAAAATTGAGTTAGATAAAATGTTAAAAAAAATTAAAAAACTCTTTCATCGAAGAAAAATTTCTAAAAATATTTTTGTGTAAATTAAAGATTCATATTTATAAGAGTTTATTTAAGATACTAGTTTTTGTAAAAGATAAAAAAGATATTAATTAATTTCTTTTATTTCTCACATAAATTATTTTCTCCAAAAACATCTTAATTATTAAGAGTAAAATTTAAAAAAAATTGTTCATTAATTAATATTATAAAATAACAATTATGCATCAAAAAAATATTATAGTAATAACAATTAAAACTATTTTCTTTTGCCAAAAAAGCCAATAAAAAATACAAAGTATATTTTATATTGGTGATAGAGCGTAGAACTAACTAAGAACTCAAGATCGTTCTGTACGCAAAACATTAAAACAAGCTTTAATTTATCATTCAATTTTTTTCTCTATTAAAATTACAATAGTAGTTCTAGAGCTTCAACATAGCATTTTATATATACTACTTCAATTTCTACCACTAGGCCAAATTTTATCATTCTATCAACGCCGGGCATTGAACTCCAAAATTTTGGGATGTTATTTATCTGTACCTTGATTACATTTAGTCTCAGTAATTTATTTTTTGGTTGCACGGAAAGTTGTACGACTTGTAGGTGGATGAATTTAATGGCTAATTGGCGACAGAGCAAAACTTGGTCGTGGGGCAAATGGTGAGGTTCTTCTTATGCTCATTATTATGTGAGGCAGTCATCAAATGCATCATCAACTATTCACTGCCAATGAATCTCCAAGTTCTTCCTAAACTATATATATCACCAAAATATTTTGGGTTATCACAGGTCGTATCTAATTGTAATTTTGATTAGTGTTGTGGTTAGCTTTCAACATGCATTCAGTTTGAAGCTATTCACCAACAAGTATCTGAATTACTTTTCAAATCCAAATCTTCATGCATGCCTTTCTTTCATCTTTCTACTTTTTGGCCCGGTAGGACCAAACAATTTATTGCAATTGAAAATTGAAAATCACTCGACTATGAACAAAAACACTAGAGAGCAAATTTTGGTGAGATTTTTAATTGATATTTGTTTATAACAATCCTCCCATGCTGAAACTCCTTTAACAGAAATAATTATATGTCTTCATTTCGGTCCGAGATCACTACGTATTTAATATATAATCAATTTCTAAGTGATATGAAATAATGGTTTTTCAATTTATGATAATAAAATTCAGTTATTTGTTACCTAGAAATTGGTCTCATATGTGGTGGTCCCAACCATATCCCTTAATAGAAAACCTTTACTCTTGCTTTTGGAATCAGTGAGATGTTAGATAGGATAGCTATGTTTGGTTCCTTTTAGGGTTTGATCAATGTAAAGCCAAGCTTCAAATGGTTATTTGATTTGTCTACTAACATACATCCCTTAATATTCAGTAATGCATACTAATCTTGAAAGTTCACTTTTAATGCAAACAAAGAATTTTATTTCTTGCCCAAACCAAAGTAGTTCAAGGTTCTTTGCCTTCTCTCTCTCTCTCTCTAAGCCCAAAAAAAAAAAAAAGAAATACTTTTTATTTATTATTTACAATGAATTATAATATTTTACTTTTTGAATCTTCGACTTATGCCTAGCTCATTTTATTTCTTTATGTTTTTCTTATTCTTCTCAATCAGATTTTGCTTATTATATTTATCAATTTTTCTTATATCTGAGTATACATACAATATCATCTTCTTGAGTAACAAATAATGATTTTCAATTAAATTAAAAATCAGAATAATGAAGGCACAGACTTTGTAAGATAAAAAAAAAGTATATATATATGATTAATTATGACATTCTAAAAGAATGGAATGGTAAAGCAAACAATGAATAGCATGGATCACTTTGATGAGTCATTTTTATTGCTGTTGAGTGCTTGATCCTGTTCCAGTTTGTGTTGTTGACTCTTGAACGTTGCTGCTTCATCTTCCAAAGACTAGTGTTTTTATTTGGTTTTGTATGGAAATGTCATGTAGCTGGTGAGTGTGTAAATGCACCCACCATGTCTAGTGCGACGCAAGGTTGATCAGTGGGTACCTGCAGACACGTCATAGATTACTCACTGTACTCTGAGGAGACAAAACAACTGAAGCATATATACACACATATCTGATTTTTCTCAAGAGACACTATCATTAGATCTTATAACTAGGACTCTGACACTATGTTTCCCACGAAAAGTGATAACGTAGTCACCATCCCACTTAATCTCATCTTCTGCTACACCCTTATCATAAATTCCTCTGCTTTAATTGTTTCCATCTTTATATTTGAAGGATATAGCTTGTTCTCATAGAAAAATTGATTTCCAATTTATAGTTTTCGTGATTGATTTGGTTAAGATATATTTTTAAAGCAAGTTGAAAAAATATAAATGAAGACTGTAGAATAAAAGTATACTAATTTTATGTTTTAAAATTTTAAAAAGTTTTTAATGCTTTTTTTAATAATCGTTTCAAGACATATGAAGTCTTGGGGTCAGTTGAAGTAAAGAAAGAAAGATATATGATAGGTAAAAATAGAGAAAAGAAAATAAGATAAATAAAAGTAGGTGAGAAATAAGATAAATTTTGGAGTGTTTAGTTTGAAAAATAAAAAAAGAGAAAATATGATACGTTAGTAAAAACTCCATATTATTCTCAATTAGTTGTGTAAATAAGGAAAAAATAAAAAGAGGAAAAATAAAAGCAGTCAAAAAAGTTTTAACAGAAAAAAATAGTCATCAACTTCGACATAATTACTAAAAATAAAAGTAAAATGGAGAATGAGTATTACACGCAAAATAACTCATTTCTTTCGCTTTATATTTTCTGCCTCACATTTCTATATATATAAATCAAACAATTCATTTCTTTCCTCTCTACCCTATTTTTTTTTCTCCTCACATTTTTTTTCTACCAAACAAAGGTTCAAAGATTAAGATGTACATTAAAAAAAAAATTTCGAGCTTGATACAACTATATATGTAAACTTTACAAGCTACTTAAACAGAATTACCTCCTGATATGTATGGTGGTAAAAAAAAAATACATATTAGCAAAGTTGATTGTTATTGTATTATGGTTCCGTTTTCCGTGTTTTAAAAAGGTAACTCAAAAATAAGGAAGAGAATACTTTATTTTGCTGGCATCACACACGTGAAAACCCATCTAAATAAAGAAAGAAACGAATCATCGAATTTGGGAAAGCATATTCATTATGTGACAGCTAAAGATGAGTGGATTCTTAAAAAAATGTGATCCTAAGATGATCCTAAGAGAACTTTACGTACAAAAAAACATGACACTGACTAGCAATCTTTACTCACTTTGCTATTATTATATATGGTTAAATTAAATAACTATTTCCTATAAAACCTTCTTTGATTTTCTTACAAAAAGTACCATATTATTTTTTCTTAGTTACAAAAGTAATAAAAGTTATGGTAAATTATAAAAATTTATAACTTTATTACTCAGTAAATAATCTTAACATAAGGCCTGTTATTTTTTTCAAAATAAAATGGTCTGATAATTTTATCTTTTTGTTTTTGTAGTGAATATCAAAGTGAACCTTTATAATAGTAGAAGAATTGGATTGTGGTCTTTATATCTTCATGACTCTAAGTAGTAATTATTTATTTTATTTCTTAATGTAGAAGATGACGTGAGGATGAGCACAAGGCAAGTGACTTTGTTTGATGCTAGTAATACTGTATTGCTGCATTGAAAACTCATGCATAGCTGTTGAGAAGGTGATTGATGTTGACTTACAAAATGTCCAGCTTTGAGGATCCAATAGAAGTAAAGGTTTTTGTATGACTTAACAAAGCCTTTGGTCGTCGATTTGTCACTTCCACAGTAGAGGGGTGTTCTGTCTTTCCCCAAGAAATTTTTAAGCCCTTCCCACCTATAGAATAATAAAAATAAAAAGATAAGAAACTTTGCTTTCAATTTCAACAATCTTGAAGGATAAATTAGGAGAGAAAGGGATGCATACTTTAATTTGTTAACCCAAGCTTCAGTCCCCTTGGTTGCACAAATCAGATCAACCTATAAATATAATAATCAGACAGAATATGATGTTACCTGATATTAAAACACAACATGTTTAAACTTGAAGGATAAAACAAGATCGCCAAATCAATCAAATAAAATAATCTGATAAGATGGTAACTAGTCCACATGTTAAATAAAATAATTGGGGTGACCAATATTATATGCATCCAATTATGAATATCCTCAATTCTTATTATACAATATGAAAGTGTTGGGAAAAGGGACCTTACTTGTCCATTGTACACAGTCACATTGACTCCTTTTGCCAGCAGTTCATCAACCTGGGGATTTTAAATTAAAGAACAAAAAATATTGAAAATAGGAAAGGAAAATCGGGAAAGCAGAAAGCTTACTAGAAACATTGATTTCAAGCTCAAATGGACAATATATATAGGATATGGTTGAGAACAGGGCTATTTTCATTTAAATAGAAACTTATAAGTTAAAACCATAGTTTTGAGCTTATTCAGCACTTGTTTTCTTCTTACCTCATTAATTCTTGGTTTCATAAAATCACCTTCAAGGTATGTAAAAACATCATTTGACTGCCCTCCCCATCTGTCAGCACAATTCTAAGTGATCATTTGATTGGTTTGAAGTCGAATTGAGAGTTGTCCTTTGTTGTCAAAGAAAAACAGACTTACGTGACATTCTCAGGGATGATCTTCAACTTTTTCTTTATGGCACCGTTTAGTAACTCGTCAAGATCATTATCACCACCAGGAGTTGACCTTGACCTCAAGAAAGTAAGATACCTTGAGTACCTCTTCATCGATATTTCTTTGTATAACCCCAACTCCATTGCTGATAAGTCATTACTTCCTTCATCTTCCAAAAAATTGTAGAAGTCCTGAAGTTAACAAAAAATTATAGGACCTTTTAGGAGTACTAAAGTAGTAGTACACATTAAAGCACAATGAGGAGATAGAAAGATGTTGAATGAAGATCATAGTACCACATTGTTGCTGCTAGCAGAAATCACTGACTCAAGTTCACTCCATGAGTTGGTGGCATCAACAAATTTACCCTCCTCAAGTTGCTGCTTGATCCTCTCAGCTATACTGATATTGAAAATGGGTTTGTTAGATAACGCAGAAAATGGCCATTCCATAGAATATTACTTCAGTTTTAGCTGTGTAATACATGGTTGTTTCTACTTGAGAAGATGGAAAACTGATTTAACCTGTTTGATTTTTGCAGTCCATTATCATCAAGTCTTGAGAGGTCTTTGAGGAGAGGACCCCATGAGAACTGCAATATTGGATTGAATATTGAGAAACGTGAAAGTTCAACATAAATTGCATGGCAGAACAATTCTACTTATTACATACCACAAAATCTTCTGGGGAGATCCAACTGTCTCCTAATGCCACACCTACACAAGGAAAAAAGTTACACCAAATCATCATTTGACCCATTTCCTAACTAACATAAAGAAATTCACCACTTAACCCCACTCGTAAGTTAAAATTGTTTTTAACCATCACATATTGAAAAAGACTAATCCCTTAACACGGTGCGATATGATTGATAAATAATTTGATCTCTTAAACATGTAGCCTAGGATTCAATCCTTGACACCAAGTGTATGATAACGTATATGATGCGAGAGATTAACTTTTTAAATAAATTTCAGAATATACCAAGAGATTAGTCTCTAACTCTGTATGGAGGAATCATGGGTTCACCCCAAAAGACCATCTAGAATATGACAGAAGCATATAATTCAAGAGAGAATTACCTCCAAGTATAAGCTTCAATTTCCCCTCTTCTATAGCTTTGAGAGCAGATAACGCAAGAGTGACAGCATATTTGCCGCCATATGACTCTGCCACAATGAACAGAGGGCTCTTTTGCAGTTTCTCATCCCCATTGAATATCTCAATCAACAATGTAGTCAAGTCAGTGCCTGCTTCCTCATCTGTTTTCACAAAGAGCTTTTTGTCCTCCACAAAACTGTACCCCGTTCCAACTGGATTGTCCTATACCGTCCACAACATTAAAAAAACATTGAGCGATCATAACTGAGAGCCACAAAATGTGCATATATATATAAAATTAAAAAATAAAACTCTTTTTCATAGTTATTACCACAAACAAGAGATCTGCTTTTCTCAACCATGTGGAATTGCGTGGCTTCAAGCTTGTGTCCAAAGGCCCAACCTCCTCAAAATTTCCAATCCCAACTCCTGAAGCACCCTGCTCAATGTTTGGAAATCTCACATTATGGGTTGTACTTGTTGATAACATCACAACCCAATTCAACAAAGACAAAACTTAAATATAATTGTTAAGTACTTTTTGGTTTTTTATTTATTTATCAGAATTAGAGATTTATTATGATAAATAACAAAGAATTGTAGTAAATGTCAACATAAATTTATCAAGGTGAGACTCCGATTCTGATTGAAGAGCAACGGTAAAAGTACCTAAGAAAGTCTATCTAAAATTTTTCCATTGAATCATACTTACAGGTCCTCCTTGCAACCATAGAACAATTGGCCATGGCTTAGAGGGGTCTTCCACTCTATAGGGACTTCTGTAAAGCCACCAAAACATGTGGGCTTCTGTAAAGCAAAAAACAATTGAAACTGAAACTATCAGCTGAATTTCACTATAGATTCCTTTTGCCACACACTCAAAAATGTCCCAATGAATTGAAATTACAAAATTGTGATGCATTGGCTTACTGGGTCTGACTTGTACGTATCCCCATTCCTCTGATCCATCTTGGCTCTTCAAAGCTAATACCTTTCCTCTATGAACAAGGACTAGGAATAAGAGAATGAAGACAAAATGATGAAGCTTCTCCATTTGAAGAAAGAAAAGCAATATGGAGAGTAAGTGAAGTGAAGCAAAGGATACGCCAATTTATATTGGTTTAGAGAGTCAAAGAAGAAGCGTAGTGTGTCAGCGTTTTCAACACAAAAACAGAAGCTGTTTTGAGTCCTAAACTCCTACGTATTCAGGAAGATAAAAATAAAAAATAAAAAATAAAAAAAAGTGGGTCACGTAAATGATCGATGGTGTCACTATTTTCCAGGTAAAACTATCCTATCCTTAAAGCAAGGTTGTGTTTTTCTGAAACAAGATCGTGAGAGTAACCTCACGTTACTTATTAGGGGGACCAATAAGGAGATATTTAAGAGATTCATTTTAGTACAACATAGCTTTAGTAATCTTTCATATAAATCTTCTGAAACTATCCTATCTTCTCATGTCTTGATGTCGTGTCGGCGTATATTTCAACCCAAAAACAGATTACAACATAACTTTAGTAATCTTTTTACATTTTGTAATTAATGACTGTGTGCACATTATTTATGAGTGCTCCTACTAATATAATCTTTTTAACACACTTTTATTATTAATTAAAATTTATTACTTTCATTTTATATAATAAGATCCAATTTAGAATATTTATTTATTTTACATAATATAAGATTCAATTAATATTGATTCATATATTAATTATTTTCAAATTAAAATATCTTTAATTAAAATATTTTTTTTAATTTAATAAAAATTAATTATAAATTTTTTTAAACAACATAAACTCTAATCTATTAGAAGAAAGAAAATGATTAATTAGAATACATAAATAATATATAACATACACTCTAATTGATTAAAAAATATAAGAGTGTTTAATTAAATTAACTATTTTTTTTATTTTTGATAAATTAGATAATTAAATCTTATATATAAAAATAAAAATAGAAGTAATATAAACTTAGAATAAATATTTGTTAAATATTCTCTTCATTCATAATAAATGTCATTTTTAGAGTTTCTTTATATACATAGCAATAAAATTTAATAAATAAATAAATAATAGAATTTTTTTTACCAAATTATTCTTATTATAAATCTTCTTTATTAAAAATAATGCAACACAATAATTTTATTAAAAAATTATTAAAATTTTAAATAAAAATAATTAATATCATATTAAAAGTTAAAATAAGACTTATTTTAAGATTTATTTTAAACTCTATAAACAATTATCATAGATAAAATGATAAAATAAAAGCCTTAACTTAAATGGTTGATCAGCCCTATATGACTTATTGTAAATCTTCTGGTAATCCGATCGATAAAAAAAAGGTAAAATTAAAACAATGAACCATATTAATGGTAGCCAAAATTGTGATGGAGAATTTTAGGAAGGTTAATTGACAAGGTGTCGAGGAGGATCAGACTCTCTTACCATAACAGTTTTATATTAAACTTTCGTTACTAGAATTTATCTTATTTTATTATATGTGACTTTTCTTATGAATTTTGTATTAAAATTTATAGTAAATATTATTTTTACAAATTTTTCTGTAAAATTTTATCTACAAGTAATATTTTCGTAGATAATATATTTTTGCAAATTTTAAAATTTGTAAAAAAGTTTCCTGCAAAAAAAATTCGCAGGAAAGTTTTTTTCAAATTTTTTCGCAAAAAATTTTACAGGAATATTTTTTACAAAAAAAATTTAAAAAATTATTACAAAATTTTATTGCACACAATGAATTCATCTGAAATGTTTGTTTCCACGCCTCTAACATATGATAAATAATCTTTTAAACTCTAAGATTGTAGATTATAAGCCTAACAATCAACCAAACAAATCAACTTGTAAGGTAAGTGTTGTCCCAGTTTATATATTTTTTAATTATTTTATTTTCAATCGTTGTGGGACTTGAAGTTTTTTTTAAATATTAAACTTATAAATTTAAATATTTTTTTGATTTTTTCCTGCAGATTAAAATTGGCAAGAAAATTCGCAGGAGAAGTTACCTGCAAAATTTTTCTATCATTTAGTAAACATTACTTACGAATTTATTTTTGCAAGAAACAAAATAAAATTCTTAAAATATTTTTTTGTAAATTTTTACCATGGAAAAACATTTCTATGATCATTAAAATTGTCGCAAAATTTGTAAAAAAATTTTGTAGATTATTTTTTATAAAAAAATTTATAAGAAATATCTGTAAATTATTTTTCATAAATAAATTCCCCAAAAAATTTTGTGAAATTATTATTGTAAGAGAATTCGCAAAAAAAAATTTACGAATATTTTTTATAGAAAAATTCACAAGAAAATGACACTTTTCTAGTAGTTTTTTTTTATTTTATCAAATATACTACCTTTTAAATTAAAAACTGTAAACGTAACTTTTAAGTATAAAATATAAATTATATAAATGTCTTACACATTTAAAAAATTACATTACAATTAACAATATATTTAAAATACCAGGTAAATGTTTTTATCAGTATTGCAATACTTAAAATATTACAATAGTCAAAGTCAAACGTTTTCTTTGAAGTATTAAATCAAATTTTGAATTAATAATTGAAATTCATCACCATTAAACATCGAATAACTAATGTTTATTGATTTAATTTGTGTTATACACTTGGTCCTCGAGCATCAAACTTCCGAGTTTGATAAAAAAAAATTCTAATGAAGTTAGAGGAGTTCAAATCTTAAATTTAATAAATAATTTTGTATCATATTGATTTATATGACTCAAAGTAATTACGAGTGAAAGTATTTCCTTTTTTTTGGGGTGAATAATGATCACAATTGAGAGTGAAGGTATCTCTTTTATTTTATTTTTTGGTGAATAATGATAAAATAAATATTAAATTATCCCTCTCAAGCAAAAGATATTGACAAAGATTACGTAGGATTGGACTGTGGAAAGAATGGTAAGGGGGAAGTTATTTTTGAAAGAATAACAACATGCTTTAAAAGAAAATTCTCAAAAGTATATTTAATTACATGCTTCCAAAACTACTATCTAAAATGGTACATATTATTTCTAAAAATATATTCTTAAAGCATATTTTTTAAAAATACTTATTGGACTGTGGAAAGAATGGTAAGGGGAAGTTCTCTTTTGAAAGAATAACAACTTTAAAAGAAAATTCTCAAAAGCATATTTAATTACATACTTCCAAAACTACTATCTAAAATGGTCCATATTATTAAATTTTTGAAGTTCTTTTCCCATATTTTTAAAAATATCTTCTTAAAACATATTTTTGAAAATTACTTTTTAAAACAGTACATATATATGTAAAAACATCATT